ATTATAAATGCAGCAAAGCTATCTGTCCCTGCCTCCTGGCCCTGTGTGGTGTAGCCATGGGATTCAGGGACTGATGGCAAACAGGAAAAAAACAGAGAGCATCCTGACGTCAGGGTGCAGGTGCCGAGCCGAGCTGCACTGAGCTGGTCCGTCTTTTCCTCCTTGTCCTCCTCTTATCATCCATACTCACTGACCGCTTGGGTCTTTTGTCTATTGTGTGCATCCACTGTGTGTGTGCATGCATACACACCTGAAATTAACGGGCTCTCATTTGTGTCTTTATTAATCCGTGAGCTTCTCAAATACATTCCGCATGGAATACCCTCTATGAGGCTGCAGGCTTTCAGAGGCGAGTCATGCATGGGCTCTCTCCCTGCAAGCAGATGGAACGAATTCATCTGTTGCTGGGGTCTAGCTTATTATGACCTTGAATGCCGGAGAGGATGATCCTCTTTAGGTTTCCTAGAGGTGACATTTTAGCTTGACCTTGACAGCTCGGTGCGATTGGCTTTGGCACTGAGAACAGAACGCATGGCTCTGCCGACAGACTGAGATGAGTCTGGTCTCACTTTCTAATCACTTAGTTGCTTGAGTGGCAAATCAATTGATCTTTATGTGCCTCAGTTTCCTCATCAACAATATTGCTCAGCTCATAGGAATTAATGATGTCAAGCTCCTCACTGGAGCACCTGTCTTCCAAGGAGCCCATGAGTTGCAAACACCTAGAAACACAAGACTTATCATGTCAGAATCCCTGAGGTCTGATGACGCAGAGGCACTTCCAAATCTGGGGGATCCTCCATGCCATGGTTACTGAGAGAGTTCTGGGGTACTGATGAGGTTGACCTGGTAAGTGGAGGACCTGAGTGGTCTCTAACTTCAACCATACATGACACTAGGGTGTCTGGGCCACAGCCTGGGTTGCAATAAAGCTGGGGAAAGGTTTCCTGGGCCACTTTTGGTGACTCACCTCATTCGCTGTAAGGACTGGTGCGGAGGCAGTAACACCTGACTCTGACTTCATATATCCCATCACACTTCTGTCTCAGCATCACCTGTATATTACGTTTCTTTTTCAGTTAAATCAGTTCTGATTACACAGGTATTGCATGATTCAACTCTCATCCAACTGCCGACCACTACGCCTCTTGTTCCTTCTCCCCTCTCCTGTTGTTAGACTGGCTGTACTTCCACCCAGACTCTGTTTTCACATTCTTTCACATAGAAGCTTATCTGGACTATTCTCTTAAAGAGAGTAAGCAAATACTCAAAAACCTTTGCATACAGGGCAGGCATCTGGGACAGAGTTTGACTCTGCCTGGGCTGCTCAACTCTCTGTCTGTTTCTAGGTTTGAGTGCAGCTTCTGCTTCCTGTGTTAACCACGTTTTGATGGTCTCCCTGAAGGGCAGCAAGGGACAGTCCGGGAACTTGCTTCTCTGCCTTCTGCGCCACCCACACCAGAGAGGTACACCGGTTCCTTGGCCCTGGTCTTCCTGCTTTCTTATCAACGGATAGACTATCTTTCACTCTCTCTGTAATCCTGAATTAAAAATAAATAAATAAATCTTTTACAAACGGAATATGAATCTTTCCTAAATCCCTTTTTCTACAAAAGATTTACTCATTTTTTATTTGTAAGGGCCGATTTGCAGATAAGAGAACAGAGAGAAAGAAATCTTGTATCCCCTGGTTCATTCCCCAAATGGTTGCAAAGGCTGGAACTAAGTCCCAAAGCCTGGAGCCAGGGAACTTCTTCCTAGTCTCCCACATGGGTGTAAGGTCACAAGGCTTTGGTCCATCCTCTGCTGTTTCCACAGGCTGTATGTAGGGAACTGGATTGAAAATGGAGCAGTCAGGACAGGAACTGACATCCATATAGAATGCTGGCACCACACCTGGAGGATTAGCCTGCTGCTCCACCAAACCATTCCCTTTTCACAATACTTTTAAGAAATAAAAGAGGGAATAGGCAGAGAACAACAAGGAAAGCTTAGAATCAAAAAGGAAATGGTCAGCGTGGACTCACACATACCTTACTAGGTACGACACAAAGATTAGTTACTTCTCACTAAGGTATTGAAGATTTCTCTGCACACCCCTCCTAAAACTGTTCTGCACCTCAACTGTTGACATATGCCTTGTTAGAGTTATAACTCAGTTTGGACTATCCTAAAATCTGCCACGTTCAGTAAAAATTATGCTTCAACACTATAAACTGCTAAATATAAAAATGAAAATAGACATGGGACAGCTGAATAGTACCCTATAGCCATTTTAAGGTGTATAGAAGCCGGTTGTATATAAACTAAAATTGAAACATCAATGAAGTAGTCACAGGATGTGCTTAAGAACTTGCATTTTTCTTAGCATATCAGTTACTCAATACCATGTCAATTAATTTCATAATGTTGTAAACTGTTTTTGACGTTATGTTATGTTGTGGGTTTAAATTGATCGGGATGATATTCTGCCAGCTCTGCCTTCAGACCAGAGATGGTCTCCCCAAGAAACCGTTGAATTTATCTGGACAATAAGATGCTGGACTCTATGCTTAATATGTGCTTGCAATGAAAGAATCTTGACTGGATTTGAACTGTAATACTGCGACAAGGTGGAGGAATCCACCACGGAGGGAAGATTTGGGGAGGGGAGAGGGGGGAATCCCAGTGCAATGTAATTAATAAATATATATATTTTTTTTAAAAAAGAGAAAAAAGAAATAAAAGAGGGAATATATCTTAGTTTATCTAGTCACAATGATTCTGATATAATCAGACAGACATTACAAGAAAAGAAAAGCTAGGTTGGTATCCCTACAAATCCTCAACAACAGACTAGAACACCAAGTTCAGAAACATATGTAAAATATACTTTGATGATGAAGTGTGACTTATCTCAGTAACACAAATCTTTAATCATACCCAAACAACCAATATGCCACAGTAATAAAAAGACAAAAAATATGTCATATCAATGGACTGCACTGAAAATATTTGAAAAGAAACCAGATCATTTAGCAAATACCACACTCAAAAACCTAAAATGTGAAATTCTTAATCTGACAAAAGCACCTACCCAGCACTCCACAGCAAGACTGAACACACTGACTAGTCAGACCAAAGACAACACAAAAGCATTCACTGCCACGTTCCTAGCAAGCAGTGTAGTGAGACTCTAGCAGGAAAATTACATTTGAAGAAGGAAAGTGGCATCCATACTAAGAATTCAGAAATGTCACATTTCAGGACCATACAATGGCTCTACTGACTAATCCTCCATTTCCAAGAGCCAGGATCCCGTATGGGTGTCAGTTCATGTCCCAGCTGCTCCACTTCCCATCCAGCTTCCTGCTTGTGGCCTGGGAAAGTAATTGAGGAATCACAAAGCCTTGGGACCCTACACCTGCATGGGAGACCCAGAAGAGGCTCCTGGCTCCAGATCAGAGCTCAGCTCTGGCCATTGTGGCCATTTTGGGACTGAACCAGCAGACAAAAGATCTTTCTGTCTTTCCCATTTGTAAATCTGCCTTTCCAATAAAAATAAATAAATCTGTTTTTTTTTAAAGATATGTGACATTTCTTGTTTATGAGAGTTGCCAAAGAATCCACAAAACCTGACTGACTTAGCAGCAAGCAATTTGCACAGTGCAGTTCGTGTTTGGGACAACAACTTCCCACATCTGAGTGCTTGGGGTCAAGTTCTGACTCTCTCTGGATCCCAGCTCTCTGCCAGCTCTGGGATGTGCCAGGTAATGGCTCATGTCTTTGAGCCTTTTCTATCCATCTGGGAGATACAGATTGACACGCTGGCACCACGGGCTCCAGGATTAGCCTGTCTGCCACTGCACCACCTCCACATTACCAATTATTATTTATAAAATATTATGCCCTGGCGCAAATGGAAACATGCATATGTATATTTCTATATATCCTGATTTTAAATTTGTTTTCATTTCTTCTTGTTTTAATTCACAGTACACAATATGGGTATGTCCACACTGCACTGTTTAGCGCTCCTCATATTTTAAATCACATATTGATCCACCTTTTAATGAACTCTAAATGTTGGAATCAGATCTCATGTAATGGTTGTAAAATCGCATATTTTCTAGATCAAAAACAATACCACTACTAACATTTTGACACTGATTTCTGTTTGCCCAGTGGGTGGTATGTTTTGTGGGAAAAATTGCAATAAGAAATGATTGTTTGAAAATTTCAGTAGCTATTAAGAAAAGTTTGACCAAGTCACATTTCCAGCAAGTCTGTAAAAGTATATTTCCTCATCCAATTATCAACACAAAATATTATCAGACTTTTGAAATTAGTAAAGCAGGCAAAAACTGCTCTCTCATTTTAATTGCATTGTTTAGATAATTAGTTTGGCTGGATTTCTTCATTATGTTTATCATTTGCCTCTCTCTTGCTTTGATGGACTATCATTAATTTGCTTGTTGATTTGAAATGTCATTGAGAGCTCTAGCTATATTCTGGACATTGTCATTTTCTGTTCACAATGTTCTCCTGTTTGTGTTTCTGCATGCAAATGTTCATAAAAAAAACCAATGTCTTTGCATGGGTTTTTGTGCAGATTTGTTTGTTTAAAAGGCAGAACTACCGATCAGGAAAAGAGATGGCAGGAGCAGCCATGTGTGGAACAGGCCACAGCCCAGAGCCGGAAGCCTCACCCCGGTCTGCCAGCCACGCTCTTGGGCCGTCTTCTGCCTCCAACGGGAGACCCAGGCCTTCATCTGGCCCTCTAACAAGGAGGCCAGGCACCTGCACAGCAGCTTCACCTGCCCTACTGTCACCTCAGTCCCCTGGAGGTCTTTGTATATCCGTAGAAATGCTTTTCTCACATTTCCTGTGCCAAATTGTTCATTCAAGTTTTCCTTTTCCAATTTTAGATTTCATATATGTTCAAGTGGCCTACCTGTTAAATCAGTGTATCACAAGTAAGAAAGCATTCCATATTTATCATTGGTTTTCCAAATCAATACCTGGTTGTCCAAGTACAATCGGTTCAATGTCATGTTTGCCCTACTTTCATATTTGCAGTGTATACTTATCAAATGCAGTTTTCCCTTAATTCATTCACTCTTAAATAGTTATTTGGTTCCATTAACATATCTGATAGCTAACTGCTGCAATGCCCCAAGCATGATAGATTTAACACACATTTTACTACATAGTAAATTTCCCATACACACACAAGAACTCACTTCATAACTGAATGTCCCTAGCTGTTTTCTAGTGTTTATTTTCAACAATCCAGCTTTAAAAAAATCAAACACAATCCTATTTACTTAATACATCATATTACCTAGATATATGTGATATATTTTATTGGATTCATAAATATATGTGTATGTGTGTACTTTAAAATATCTTCATTTAAGTCCTTAGACTTTTAGGTCTTTCATAAGCCAAGTTCTTATACTTTTGCATTGCCTCAATGTAACTTGAAGTCCAATTCTCCCTATTACATTTTCTACCTTATGCACAGAACAGCAGTTAATTGGTTTTTATTAGCTAGGTATAATATACTAGAAAACTTTTTTCTAAATTCTCTCTTCTATGACCTTTAACGTTGTGTCCTGGGAACGGTGTACCATTGGCGAGTGAAAAGATCAATTGTGTCTTCTTTTTTCAACAGGATGTGTTCTCCAGCCTGATGCTGCTAGCAGTGAAAGCACACAACAAACTGCAGTGTGTTTTACACTGCGTGGAAGGATACGTGAGGGTTAGGACTGAGTCTGAAAGAAGACAGATAAATAAGGTCATCTACCTATCCACCCATTTATCTGATAAATGGCTGCACCATCCATCCATCCATCCACCCATCCATCCATCCATCCATCCATCCATCCACCCACCCATCCATCCATCCACCCATCCATCCATCCATCCATCCATCCATCCATCCATCCACCCATCCATCCATCCATCCATCCACCCATTCATCCATCCACCCATCCATCCACCCATCCATCCATCCATCCATCCAGCCATCCATCCACCCATCCATCCACCCACCCATCCACCCATCCATCCACCCACCCATCCACCCATCCATCCATCCATCCACCCACCCATCCATCCATCCATCCATCCATCCATCCATCCATCCATCCATCCATCCATGGCTATAATACAGCACAAACACAACACACTGCATCAACAGTTGTTTATAAAGTTGGTTAACTCTCTTTACAGTATTTTCATTTCCACTTGTTTCATAGGATCCATTTTAAACGTCTAAAAAAATTTTTAAAACAACTACGTTGCAGCTTCTAGGAAAAGATAGCCAGGACATAAAATAGAGAATAAAATGTCTTGAAATAACGCCTTATGTTTTAGAAACAACACAAAAACTTTACTCCTACCCCTTCCCCGGATAGATAAACTACATCTCACTGTCTGCTCAAACAATCTGAGCTCCGGGATCTCTGCAGCGGCTGACCCCGTCAAGCCTGTGCAGAAGTCACGCGTTTTTACCTGAGTGCTCTGGCCGAAGTCGGTGAGAGACGCGAAGTTAAGCAGTCGCGCGGGCCGTTCCCCACCTTCCAGCAATGTGAGGGTAGTCCGGGCAGTAGGGTGAAGGGCTGTCACCTCTCAACTCCTCTCCATGCCTCCGCAGCAGACAGTTGCACTCCGGCCTCTGCTGCCACCTTCACTTCACCGTCCCACTTGCGGCGGGCCACCACTTCTTAAGACCAGGGTTGGAAAGGACTTGCTGCCACCAAACGCGCCACGATTCCTCCGCAGGCGCGCGCTGGCCGCCCTGAAACTTCCACAACCACCTGAAGATGCAGAGCGCACTGTGGCCTGCCTGCCCGAGGCTGCGTGCCGCAAATGCTGCGCTGTCCCCTGCGCTCCCGACGCCCAGCGCTCCGGGACTTCAGCCCACCTGGTCCCGCTCCGCACCCGCTCGGCCGGCCCCTCCTCACCGCTGGCCGGCTGCGCACCAGCTACGCCAGACGTGGAATCCTAACGTTATCGGTGCAGGAAAGGGAAAGATGAGAAGGCGGGAAAAGGAGACGGAAGAGGAGGATTTTTCAGATTAGAACAGAGTGAACTCGCGGAGGGCAGGGCCAGGCGCGGGACGTTCGTGCTCCAAAACCGATGCTCTCCCGCCCGCCGGTGCGGCGTTTTGCAAGGGGTGGTGCACCTGAAGTGGGCAAAAACTCAAATCGCTGGGAGCAAAAGCAGAGCACAGCTAGTCACTGCACTGGGCAGGTTCTAGAGCCCAGCGAGACTCTGCTACTGGCGCGTTACTGCCCTGGGAGGGAGAAGAAAGCGCTCTTATGCAACAGTCTTTTACTTTGCATTTGCTCCCACCCCGGACCCTTGGCTTGGAGTGTTGGCCTTGGCAATGCATCGATGGTTGGAAACACTGGGCAAGGGGCCCAGGCGTTTTGTTTTCTTTTCCACAGGACTGAGAGAGGCCAATTCGATTCTGCAGCGAGGGAGGATGGAAGGGACGCCAGGAGCAAAGGTTGCTGGTGTTTTCAGACACTGGGAGAAATATGCTTATTGTTAATTTTGATGGATGGCCACAGCTGCTTCGTTCATATTCGTGGGATCCGCCTTAAGACAAGTAAACGCTGGCGGGAAGTGGGTAAACCCTAATGCCCCCTGCCTTTAGGAAGACCCAGAAGCGGAGAGAAGTCCGCGTGCCTGCACGAGAGTGCTTGGTGCTGCTCCACGCCGGGGGAGGGGGAGGGCAGGGGGAGGGGGGCAGAGCTGGAACAGGAGAAGGCATGTGGGAGTGCAATTGAAGAATTTTTCCATTTTCATGTGTTTGTTTGGAAATAGCGTTAAGATTCACATTGTGTTTCTCTGTAATAATTAAGGGAGACATTTCTCCAACACAGAAGTAATGCTTTATTGAAAACATAAAACAGAAACCGGTGCCAATGCCTTGCAAAATAGAGTGGTGCTTATTCACATTGTTATAAAGTCACGAGAGAGTGTGAGAGAGAGAGGCAAAGAAAATTAAATTCATGAATGTAACCACCCACAGTGGCCACATGAAAGATGCCAGCAGAGGCAAGAGCCAAATGACAGTTTTGAATTATAGCTTAGGACGAAAAACAAACAGAGCCATGTCACAGACCCATGGACCCAAACCACAGGGTTTTTTTTTTCCTTTAATATTTATTTATTTATTTACTGGAAAGGCAGATTTACAGAGAAGTAGATAGATAGAGAAATATATTGCATTTACAGGTTCACTCCCCAAGTGGCCACAATTGCCAGAGCTGAGCCATTCTGAAGCCAGGAGCCAGGAGCTTCTTCCGGGTCACCCACACAGGTGCAGGGTCCCAAGGCTTTGGGCCGTCCTCAGCTGCTTTCCCAGGCTACAAGCAGTGAGCTGGATGGGAAATGGAGCAATTGGGATACAAATTAGCACCTATACTGGATTCCGGTGCTTACATGGTGGGAATTTAGCCACTATGCCATCACACTGGATCCCCAAACGTGGGTTTTGACAGGGAGAATGAACCAACTCATGTCTTTCTGAAATTCCTGGCTTGATGTCCTTGGAGGTCGAATAGATTTTGTGAGGGTAAATGCACGATTTTCATCAGGATCCCATTTTTGTTTCTCCGTTGCTGCATAGCTACCCCTCTTTTTACTAGTTCCTTTTATTGGTTGCTTTTATGTCTCTACAGTGTCCCGTACCACCAAACACAAAATTAAAAAAAAAAAAAACATTTGCAAGAGCGCTTTTCATTTCTTCGGTCACACATGCCATTGCTATTATTTTTATAAGCTATCCAAGGAAATATTACGGGTGTGGCTTAAACAGCCACCAGTCATTTTTTTCCCCTGAAATTAAGATAGGAATATATTTCACCTAGTGAGGTCCTATGGTACTTGACAATGAGAACATGTTTTGAGAAATTAAACATCAGAAGTAATTGAGCCCTTTGTGCCGTGTAAGCTATACTGCAAGACTCAGCTGTAGCACCAAAGCTGTCAGCCCGTGGAGCATGGCAGAGAGGTCAGTGCCATGAGCTGCTGTGGTACAGCAGTATTTGTGTGTCTAAAGGTTTGTATATAGAAAGGGTGCAGTAAAAAGGTGATGTAGATTTAGTATGGATGGGGCTTATAGTATTGAAGATATTTCCGGGCAGGTCGGTGAGTTAGTGGTAAGCAAATTGTAGAGCCTGCCTACTTTGCATTTAAGAAACATTAAATTTATTGTTAAAATTGTGCTTTTTCAATAAAAATTTCTTTGCTTACTATAATGTATTTGCTGTATAATTGTAACGTTTTTTGAACTTTTGATCTAACTGCGTCAACAGTCCTTAAGACAAAGTGTGTACAATTATGCCAGAATACTTTCTGTAGAGAATTTTTTTCCCACTTATTTATTTTGTTTTATTTGAACTTTTTTGTTAAGAATGAAAGTACAAATGCACTGGCTAGCCTAGGCTTCCAGCGGACATTGTATCCTTGAACCGGAAGGTCTTCGGGGCCCGTTGTTTCACGTGGCGATGTCATTTCCGGTGATAACACGGCCATTTTCTGGCATGTCTCTTGGAAGTCCTATGTAAGTCTCTGCAAGAGAATACAGACCTTTCCGATATACAGGCTTGCTGGGTTTCTTCTTTTCCTCATAGACTGTCCTGTAAGCAGATGTTCTACCGTATTCTCTAGTAACGACAAGTATGTTTTCAAGCTCTTCAGGAAGTTATCGAGGTTTACAAAAGGTTCTGATGAACTCTGAATTTGTTGGAGATTCTTTTTCTTTCGCAGTTGCTATTGCTTCTTTTGAAGTGTGTGTGGATTTACTAGCTGGTTGGAATTCTTCAGCACCTTTAACATGAATGGAATTACTGCCCTATTTGTAGATGTGAGGTTGACTCAAACATTGCTGTGGGGTTCATTACTATCTTCAGCTCATATGTTCACAGTTTCATGTGTTTTTCATTTTTTCCTGTAGCGCTTAGTTTATGTATGGTCCTGTCCCTTCAAACTACAGACTTTCACTTAATATTTCTTGTAATGAAAAACAGAGACA